ACAGCGCTGATTCCACAGTCAAGGAAAAAGGGACAGACATGCAGATAACGGGACAGAGAACCCGGAAGCAAGTCCCCACAAGTCTGCAAGGTAGATGCAACTAACGGGATTATCATTTTCAATTATTTTAAAATACAGTTTCTAGCGCTTTAAGCAGTGATTCCAGGTTAAAATTGTATTCCCAACTCAATTTCATTGTGTATTAAGTACCTCCATGCAAAGAAGCCAAGATGGAACCACTGAGCTACGTTCTGTGGTGCTGAAGGAAGGCCCAAGGCACTTCCGCTCTTTCTTTGCTCCTCTCCCCCTGCATCCCATGCTTGAGAAAAGGATGTCTTACAAATTCTCAAACATTTACTGTAGCATCGCCTTCATTAATGAATTAACTCTACCCCCTCACATCCCAGAGCCTCCTACATTCCATCAGATGCCTTCATTCCTGGCATCTTCTGACAGATATTTTCACAGTCCCAGGGAACAAGGAACTGTATATCCTGACTTCCAAAGTTATTTTTACAAAAGGGTAAGAGCCAAAAAAACTAGTACAGTGTCATAAAAACTACATTTAAAAATGCATTCACATTCTCAAGGTAAAAGCAAGCATGTTTTCAATAGTAGGATGATACATGTATCCCACTCATTAAGAAAAACCTAATGGATTAATTACCTCTCCTTGAATCTCTGAAAACTGAAGCATGCAGGAAGTCCCCAAAAGAAAAGAAAACTACATGAGTCTCTGAGGTTTTCCAAAACAATGTCTTCAGTAATCTCTCCTTGAGGATTTTGTGTGAAAATTATTATAGATAAAGCAACTGGAGAGTTTCTCAAACCACTACCTATAGGAGAATAAAATCTACCTACCATAAAGGGTAGAGAATAACATTTTTTCATTTTAATTCTTTCAATAGGTAATTTGTCCCCATGGTCCGAAAACCAAGTAATATAAAAAGGCACACCATGAGAAGCCTCCTGCTTTGGGTCCCCACATGCTCCCAGCCTCTCCGCAGACAGTAAGTAGTGGTATCTGTTTATAAAACAGCCTTACGGGGTTTCCTGCATGTATGTGTACATCTACAAACAGCCACACACACTCTTCTCTTGTGCTCCCCGCTCCAGCACAAACAGCAACATACTGTGCTGCATTGCATTTTCAATCACTAAGTGTATCCTGCTCATCTTTCCATATTAGTACCTGGAGGGGTTCCTAATAATTTTTATAGCTGCATAGTATCCCATTTATTTGTGTGTGTGTGTGTGTGTGTGTGTGTATGGACACAGATAAAACATATTTAACCAGGTCAAACCAACAGACATTTAACTTGTTTCCAATCTTCTGCCATTATAAACAACATGGCAATGGCCCTCATATACATGTCATTTCTTACCTCTATAAGCATTACTGCTGTATAAAGGGGTTTTAATAGGATCTAAATGATTCTTACCATCAACTAGTTTAAACACTACCCCATCCTGAGGAATTCTATTACAGGCAGCATTGTAACAATTCTGAATTCAAGGCAATGCCATAGTGGATGCAGTTTACCACTGCTTCATTTAAAAGGCCGAAGAGAGGACTCTTCTGTTCCTTGCTGCTACTAGTGGAGGGAAATATTTCTTTACCCTCTAGGAAGAAAACACAATTTTAAGAACATTTATTCTCTCTAAAAATCTTTTTAAGACGCTCTGCTTTAGATGATAAAACTAGTGAGAGCCCCTCATCCGCAAATGGGGAAGCCACTCTGTGCTCCCTGCTGAAGTGAGCCTGGAATCAAACCCTCTCCGCCGAGTGTTTTATGGCTTTTGGCTTTGTTTCCTAACATCAGTTGTGGTCCTTTGTCACTTGAATTTCCTTACTCATTCAACAGGTCCATCCACTAAACCTGTCTTAGAGCAGTTTTCCTCTACCTCTCCTCCTACTGACAAGCAAAGGGTCTCTGATTTAGATACTTGGACATTCATATAACCTACTGATATGGACACAGCAGGAAGTCAAGGGATCCAGGGTGACAGTGATGAGGTGGATGGAAGCCTGGCTGTACCTGGTAACTATGCAGGATCCGAGGGGACCAACAGTCTACAGGAAGATGAAGAGATGGCTCCACGGCTGACCTGGGAGCACAGTTAGGAATGGGAAGCTGGCCCTCCTGCTCTCCCTGACAAGACTGCCACTGTCTGTCAGAGGCCAGGGACACTGTCCATGCAGAGGGGTGAGATAGAAGACTCCAAACTGCTGCAGTGGGAGAAAAGGGTCCTTCTCTCTTGGAGATGTCTGATGACAACGAAAACACGTGACACAGAGCAGGCAGAGCCAGCCCTTTGCTGCTGGGACGGCACCAGGATACCAGTCCAACCTGAGAGGGTGGAAATCAGACTTCCCTCATCTGCACTAAGTCTCCTATCCCTGACCCAGGGGCCCCAGGACATCAAGATGACTGAAAAGGGGAAGGTCTTGGTAGAGTAACAAAAAATGTGCAACATTATTTACTCATTTAACACATCCTGCTAGAAATTCCCTGGTGGTCCAGCGGTTAGGACTTCACGCTTTCATTGCAGGAGTGCATGAGTGCTCGGCTGTTTCAGTTACGTCCAACTCTTTGCGACCCCATGGGCTGTAGCTCGCCAGGCTCCTCCGTCCATGGGATGCTCCAGGCAAGAACACTGGCATGGGTTGCCATGACCTGCCCTCCAGGGGTTCTTCCCGACCCAGGGGTTGAACTAGTGTCTCCTGCACAGGTTCTGTCATTGGTTGGGGCACTAAGATTCTGTATACTGCGGCCACAAAAACCGAAAAACAGAACAACCACCAAAAACCCATGTCCTAACTTCTCCCCAACCCTCCACAGAGACTGCCCTGGGAAAGGACCTCGAATAAACTTAACTCTCACACCCAAAATAGTCTCTTCAGTCAGTACAGTCTCTGAAGCATCCAGAAGGAGTTCCTCCAGGTTCCCAGCTGCTCTCCCCACCACCTCTCATCTCTGAGGACGCCCGTCTGTCACCCTGGCCGGCTGCTCCCCCTGCACAAGCCCTTAAGCTTCACCGTCACCCCACACAACCTCGCCTCTCTGTCTGAACCTCTTACGGCCAATTCAGGAGACTCGGATGATTCCCTAGCTCCCCAACCTGTGTTCAGCTCAGGCTTCCAGACCCCTGAACTGGCTGACACACCTCCAATCCAAAGTTCAACTAAACCATGTTCTTCCTCAAACCTGCCTCCTCACATTATGTCCCCAGAACCCAGACTGGGGAGAACCCCAGTCTCGCCCTAGCTCCACCTTGATCCTCACGTCCCCAGAGTTCTAGAGGCTCCATTCTCCTGAGCGGGTCCTGACCCTCTTCCCCTCCCCTCCCACTGCCGAGACCTCTCCCCCCACCTGCTCTGTCCACCCTCACTTGTGTGTTGGTAACAGTACACGTTTCTACTATACACATTATTCTATCATAGTTTTATGGGCCACAGCCAGGAACATAGCGGGGTTGAGGTGGACTGCTTAAAAGTGGCCCAGCTCCCCAACAAGTTCCAAGTACATCACACAGGAACTCCTGAAACAAGGGCCCCTTCTCTGGGCTCTGACCTACACTGCGCCCTCTGCTTGGCCTGGGCTTCCTTCTCCCTCTAGGCTTCCGTTCACACTCTTGCTTCAGTCCCTCCCACTTGGGTAGATCTTACCATCCTTCAGCACTAAGCTTACAGCGGGGGGGGGGTTTCCCCTCTTTGCAGCCTTTCTTGGTCCTTGAATAATACCTATAAAAGTGTCCACTTCCTCCTCTGGGTTCCTACCCTACCTAGGCATACTTCTATTATAGCATCTATATTCCTTTATTCTATTTGCAAGTAGATGAGACAATAATTTTCTTTCGAGTAGATATTACTGTTTGTTTTTTTCTTTTTTTCCATTTTAAACATAAACTAGCAAGAGAGAAAAACTGAAAATCTTTTGGCCACTTTTTTCAATGAATTTATGATAGAGGATTTGGGTTAGATGAATTTCAAAAGTCATTCTTATAAATAAAAAAATAAAAGTTTTTCTTATATTTTCCCTAAAATTATTTATTATATCAATAATGTTATTTATAATCAATAATGACAGTTTTCCAAACACTCTGCTTTGTTTAGGTGATTACAACTATGCTATGCCAGTCACACTTATCAGCGGACCTGTATCAAGGAGTGCTGAACCCTAGCCCTCTTTTAGACTCACGGTAGGTGGTCAATGAACTGGTGAACTAGAGCATTCTCAGTCGTATCCAACCATCCACCTATGACTGTTTTGAGTATGATCCCTTTAAGTAAATGATAGTGAATTATCTATGCTTAAAACTCTTAAATTGGGGAAAGCTATATTAACAAGTACATAAATACATCCCAGCTAATAAAATTTGTTCCCTTATTTTTCTTTCTTCTAACATATTATAATATGTTATAATATTATAATTATAGTATTATATAATTATATATTATATAATTATTATAATATTAACTTTTTTTATTTTTTTTTCCATTTATTTTTATTAGTTGGAGGCTAATTACTTTACATCATTACAGTAGTTTTTGTATATCGTTACCATATTTCTAAAGTCCATATATATGTGTTAGTATACTGTAATGGTCTTTATCTTTCTGGCTTACTTCGCTCTGTATAATGTATAATCTTATTATTCACAAATTTTCAATTACTTCATCAATATTTTAACTATTAAAAATCTGAAATGAAGTTCCCTTTCTGACACAAACAGGAAGAATATATATTTCAACAGGAATAGGAACTTAACTAAATTGTTTAACCCTTAAAAAGCAGAGTAACAATAAAGTTTCAGTAACATTATTTTAACTGGCAGATAAAAAGAAATGAATTCTAAATACATTCCAATAAATTTCACATAGTACTGAAAAGTGGAAGAAATTTTGGCATGCACGACTAGCATGTGATACTTCAGAGGAGGAAAAGTTGGATGGGAAACAGGTCTAAGACTGACAGAAAATAGTTACAAGCACTTACCTTATTGCTACCTAGACTGGAGGACGGGATAAGATCCTGGCGGCTGCCAGACAACTGAAGAGGAAATGAAGAGAAGAATTAGCCCTTTATGTGCAAAAGCACATACATCCATGATCCTGGAAATACACTCTGAAAACCAAATCAACAGAATGTTAAAGTTGGATGAGAGAGGCTGCCAAGACCAAGCTGCAAACTAGACTCATGGCCTTTGGTTCCCTGTTAGGCACAGTTTTTGTGTTTTTAATTGAATTAACATTTTTAACACGGCAGGTTTGAATAAGATCAGATGTCCAGCTTACATAGAGCTAACAGCCAACTGGGCCCAAGTAAAGGACACTTGATTTGTTTATCCGCTTCCATGTAAAGGATACCAAGCTACCAGTTTCCTTGTTGTTACTGTTGTTTAGTTGCAAAGCCGTGTCCGACTCTTGAGACCCCATGGACTGTAGCTACCGGGCTCCTCTGTCCATGGGATTTCCCAGGCGAGATTACTGGAGGGGGCTGCCATTTCCTTCTCCAGGGCATCTTCCCGACCCAGGGATGGAACCCGAGTCTCCTGACTGACAGACAGGTCCTTTACTGCTGAGCCACCAAGGAAGCCCACGGGTTCCCTTATCATGCCCTGATCTGATGACTCCTTTCTCTGGGTGCTGCAGTGAATGTCTACACAGAAACAATTTATATTACTTTATTTATTTTGTTGCTGTCGTTGTAGATGCGAACAGTTATTTATTTATACTCTTATTCAGCCAACATGTATTGAGCATCTGTATGTTCTCAGTATGTATCAGGTGTTTTTTGGTGTTTTTTTTTGAAACTTTTTATTTTAAATCATAGGATTCTAAGTACAAAATCTCTGCACAGAGATTTTAGTACATCATTCACTGCATTTTAGTACATCATTTTCTGAAGGAGAAGATGCTGAGTTAAAGGGAGGTTTATTTACTGTCTGAGAATGTTCCCAATCTTTCCATCTGAGACCATCAGTGACATCACTCAGTCGCAGGGAGCCACCTATGCCTTCCAGCCTGACACCCATCCTGTCCTGCCCCTCACTGGGATCTCTGCAACACCAAGGCTAAGGGTCAGCTGCTCTTTATTTCAACATTTATTCCGTGGTTTCTCTTGGTGTGAAGTTCAGACAACAGTGTACTATTTCTCACATCCACCTCTTTATCAAAAGTAAGGAAAGTAAAGATAAATCACAGGGCTCCAAGCATTCTTTGTGAAGAATTATTTGTAAACTTCATATTCATGTAAATTTTATCTATATTTTAAAACACATCAACAAACTTACAACACTGTGACAAAAACAAACCTAACTGATTTGACTCACTTATGCTCTCTGGATGACCTTTGAGCAACTGAGTTTATAAACATGGTCCAGACCTCTCCTCAACCTGAAAGTAATTAAGTTCAGCCTACAAAATTCAAACAGCTTTCCCCAGGCACTACGCTAGCTTTGCATTAGTTCAACACATGCTCACCTAACACAGTCACTGTGCCAGGCACTGGAGGTATGAAGATAAATGAGAAACAAATCCAGAGGGACTTCCACGGATGCTTCCCGTGTACCATTAGGAAGGTCAGAGATGGGGGGCTGCAACGATGCTACGGGGCAGAGAAGTGGGGACTTCAGTCAGTGCAGAGGAGGAAATGACGCCCGAGAGGAGACTCGCAGGGTGGAAAGGAGTTATCCAAGGAAAGAGGAGGAGCGAAAGCAGATCCTGGGCCGAGCACAGGCGGGCTCCTGCGTACTCACTCTGTTCACATTAGGAGAGCTGATACTCCTCCTGCTCAGCTTCCCTTTTCCCGTCAACTGTTCCTTCACGGCAACTTCCTGTGGGTCAGAGAAAACACAGGGGAAAAGCACGCATGAGACACACACATCCAGAGTAACAGTGTCTAAAGTGGGCTTTGAGCTATGGACATATTCCAAGTTCTTTATTTACTGGAGTGGGGTGGCCATGCCACACAGCTTGTGGGATCTTAGTTCCCTGACCAGGGATCAAACCCGTGCCCCCTGTAGCGGATGCACATTGTCCTAACCACTGGACTGCCAGGGAAGTCCCCTAGTTCTTTAAATGACAGCTGTTACTTCATACAACAGAATGACCCAATTACTGTCACGGTGGAATACTCAAAGTTAATTAAACAAGTGACAGGTTATGTGGTTCATCCCTTTCCTTATCTACTGATGGCTCCCTTGAAGCTGGCCACAAGTGAGTCCCAGGAGAAAGATTATGAAAAGCAGACCATTCACTTTTATGTTTCATTAGTATTTTTGTTAAAAAAAAAAAAAGTTTGGGGCCTTCCCTGGTAGTCCACAGTGTCTACGACTCTGTGCTCCCAAAGCAGGGGGTCCAGGTTCAATCCCTGGTCAGGAAACTGTATCCCACAGGCCACAACTAAGAGCTGGCACAGCCTAAATAAATAATTTTTTAAAAGTTTCAACATAGCCACATAAACTGATGTTTAGAGCTTCCCTGAGCCTTGGGTTTATGACTATTACCTCTCTTTTCCCTCCTGGAGATCCACTCTGAGGCCGTGGAGGCCAAGAAAGGACACACATTCTGCCTCAGGGCTACATTTTTCTTTGGCAACTATCCAGTGTCAAGGAATTTGTAAAATACTTCTTAACCAGCAAGAGTGATATATTTCCTTCCACTACCGGCTCAGTCAGTAAAGAATCCACCTCCACTGCGGCAGACCTGGGTTCGATCCCTGGGTTGGGACGATCCCCTGGAGGAGGGCATGGCAATCCACTCCAGTGTTCTTGCCTGGAGAATCCCCATGGACAGAGGAGCCTGGTGGGCTACAGTCCATGGGGTCGCAGAGAGTCAGACACGACCACGCACAGCACTACCCAGGCAACTGGCTACCATTTAGGGTCTTGGAAAAAATAACTTCCAAATGTCATTTTTGTATCTTCGAAGACTCACCCGGCAAGTTTAATGTAAATTAACATGCTCCACTTAAGAGGTTTCAGAAGTTTAGACCTAACAACAGTGTGAACTGCGGAAAGTCAAGCCCTGGGTCGAGCTGGCTGGCACCCGCCCTGTCGCCACCGGCTGACCTGGCGGAGGCGGTCTAACGTGAGGAGATTCTCCACCGCCAGCACACTCCTGAGGTACTTCTCGATGTACGCTTCCGAGTCGGCAGACGCCGTGTTTTCCACATCAGCTGCCATCCTTGCTAACGCCTCTCGTTCCTCGACTCCCTGAGCATCCTGGAGGATGGCAATTATGCGTTAAAATTAAGTACCCTGCAGAAGAAAATGCTTCAGAGGCATCTTGATCTATACGAATTCACAAAGAGTGCCGAACCAACCAACGGGATGTATTCCAAGTTCCACTTTAAAGTCAGCTCTTGGAACTCAAAATGCGTTTTCCCACAGAAATCATGGTATAGGGGGTGGCTTGGGTCACCCGAACGGCTAGTTAAACAGAGCGCATTCTGAAACACCGCACCTGGGGACCTGGGGGACAAGCTGGGAACCTGACCACAACAGTACTCTAGGGCCGCGTCTCAAGGGGCCAGAGGGAGGACTAGGGAGCTGCGGTGAGAGCGGGACGCATGTGGGACCCAAACCACCCCCACAGGGGCAGACAGAGCTATGAAGGGTAACAGTGGGAAGAGCGGCTGGATTCCAGCCCTTTCAGTAAGCAGCCTCCCAGGGACTCCACACTCCACACAGGCCAATCCCCAGCTCTGCAGACAGAGGCCCAAGAGCGGACGCCGACCAAGCAGACCAGCCCCCGGGCATATTCTCCCGTGCCCAGATCCAGGGACAGAGCTGCTTCAGGCATATCAATGGGATGTTTGCACGTCACAGGAGGGATTTTGTTAATGTAATTAATTAGATCTCTCAAGCTCATAGTGGCTTATAACAAAGCACTCTTCTTGGGAAAAACCAAGTCCTTTACTTGTGAATTTTGTTATAACAACATCAAAACCTGCAAAATACACTGGGCTGGCCAAAAGGTTTGCTTGGGGCTTTACATACCATCATATGGTAAAACCGAACATTTGGTCCAGTCCACTGGTCATAGCAAACACCCTCTTCCAACAAAACAAGAGAAGACTCTACACATGGACTTCACCAGATGGTCAATATCGAAATCAGACTGAGTATATTCTTTGCATCCAAAGATTGGGAAATTCTATATAGTCAGCAAAAATAAGACTGGGAGCTGACTGTGGCTCAGATCATGAAATCCTTATTGCAAAATTCAGGCTTAAATGGAAGTAGGGAAAACCAGACCATTCAGGTATGACCTAAATCAAATCCCTTACAATTATACAGTAGAAGTGACAAATAGATCCAAGGAATTAGATCTGATAGACAGAGTGCCTAAAGAACTATGGACGGAGGTTCATGACACTGTACAGGAGACAGGGATCAAAACCATCCCCAAGAAAAAGAAATGCAAAAAAGCAAAACAGTTGTCTGACAAGGCCTTACAAATAGCTGTGAGAAGAGAAGCGAAAAGCAAAGGAGAAAAGGAAAGATATTCCCATTTGAATGCAGAGTTCCAAAGAATAGCCAGGAGAGATAAGAAAGCCTTCCTCAGTGATCAATGCAAAGAAATAGAGGAAAACAACAGAATGGGAAAGACTAGAGATCTCTTCAAGAAAATTAGAGATACCAAGGGAACATTTCATGCAAAGA